ACGGAGAGGAGAGGGAGAGGAAGACCAAACAGACTTGGATAGAGGAATAAGAACTAATATGCTTTTTCTTGAGTTGAATGAGAGTATGGTTTTAGAGAGAGCAAAATGGAGGGTGCATATTAGTGTGGACGATTAATCTCTTTTCTCTCTTCTTCTTTTTTGTCTTTTATCTTCTTTATCTTTATATGTTATTATGTTATTTTTATCTTTTTATCTTTTTATCTTTTATCTTTGTTATGTTCTTATGTTATTTTTATCTTATATTTCTCTTTTCTTATACATTTTATTTTATCCCATCTTTTTATTTTTCTTATCATTCTTCTCTATTTGGCTCTGATATCATGGATCGATTCACGTTCGCCGATCCCAAAATCTTTTAGTATTAAGGCTTGGATGTTGTTGTATTTAACATATTGTAAAGACCTTAAATCCACAAGAAAAACAATCAAATGGTATCACAAGAAATGATCTCATTGCAGAATTGTATTCAAAAGATCAGGGAAATGTGTTACATGTGAACTGCAAAACCATGCCGGAGATAGGAGCTGCCAGCACCACATACAGTGTACAGCCCATCAATGAAATCCGTTGGTTTTTCTGGGATATCTGCAGGCTTCCACCGTAATTGAGTAGGTGTAGCAGAACTGTTAATCTGATTGAACTCACTAACAAGCCTTTCATGTGTTGGAACTCTACGTTTAAATGGCTCATGAGTAACTGATGGTTTAACACGATATAGCCAACTGCCCACACAAATGAACAATTATATAAGATTATTTAGAAAGATCACATATTAAGAATTTATTGGGTTGACAGTTGACACACATTGATCATCCAAAGTCCCAAATCAGTGCTATATATAAATTGAAACGCCTCGATCACTAATTAATATTGAAACATCGATGAAATAATTCATACCCTACGCCTACCTGTTTAATCACCTATGAGTATTGACTTCAAGCATATGAAGCATGTGTCAAGAAAAGTGAAAAACACCCACATTTTATTAAATACTTATCTACCATGAAAAAATATACAAACAATCTACAATTAGAAAATTGAGTCAAATATTTTTTGTATTAGTGATGGCCATATTGGTACCCATTGACCAGCCATTTTTAATAATTAATGATTAAGCATTTTAGTGATCAAGGAATTTACTATTACTCGTTGATGCATATGATTTGACTATAATTTCATTTTAAGAGGGACAAAACTGATAAAGTCATGTCTTCAACCTCTCCTTTATCAGTAAAATCAGAATATAGTTTCAATTTCTTTTTCAGAAAATAATTGCATAAAAGACATCACCCCAAAGGGAAGTCATGTTATGATCCAGAAAAGTCTAGCTACCAGTTTAAACTAGTTGTGCACTTTCAAACACCAAAATGAACAGTTCTCCGTATTTTAAAATTAGATCTATAGACGGCTAGGAAGTACGGAAACTTTTTTCGGCTCACACTTCCCCATTACGGAAACTCAAAAGCCTTGGAAACTTCAAATTGTCATTTCTGGTCCGTTCCCGTGATTAAAAAGAATATCTAAACCTATTTCCCTAAATAATTAGAGTTTCGGAAAATTTGGGTTTCTAATTCTTTCCTTTTTGGTGGGATTCGTATGTTAGCAATAGAATGAACTTAACACCCTGTTCTTCCTTATCCAAACTAGCTACGTAGGTTTTAAGGAGCTTTTGTTTTCAATGGTGTGTAGCTCTTATGGCTGCATCACCTTTTATTAATATTTATATACACTTGATAAAAATGGAAGCTACGAAATAGGAGATTGATGCTACATGTTAGCAACTAACCCCACTAAGAAGGTGCACACCCACACCTCTTATTTACCAAGTCAAAAACCTTAACTACCTCCTATTAATATTCTAGCTACTTTATTTTAGGAATTATTTTCCTCATTCCTAAGTAACTCTACGGAAGAATAAACTAACATGCCATGCAAGCATGTTTTACGAAAAAACAAAATAAACAAGTTTAAAAGTTTAAATAAACTATCAATCACTCCCCTAAACTTGTTCACTTGGCATTCTTCATTCCAATCTTCTCCCTCATTTCAATGAACCTTTGTTTAGGAAGAGGTTTGGTCAGCATGTCCGCCAACTGATCTGCAGTCTTGACATAATCAATCCAAATGTCACCATTCTGAACACATTCTCGAATGAAGTGATATCTTGTATCGATATGCTTTGTCCTATCATGATAAACAGGATTCTTTGCAAGAGCGATGGCTGATTTGTTGTCCACGTAAAGAGTTGTCTTCTCTTTATCTCCTCCTTTTAAATAGCTCAACATTCTTCCAAGCCAAATACCTTGGCATGCTCTTGCAGTGGAGGCTATGTACTCAGCTTCACACGAGGACAAAGCTACCACTTTCTGCTTTTGTGATGTCCAAGTGATAGGCTTTTCACCTAGGAAATACATGACTCCAGATGTGCTCTTTCTGTCATCTATATCTCCTGCCATATCACTATCACAATAGCCAACAAGGTCTTCCTTGCCTTGTCCCCGTTTGTAAATACAACCCAGATTTAAAGTGCCCCTCACATACCTTAGGATTTGTTTGACTGCTGCCATGTGTGTTTCTGTAGGAGCCTCCATGTATCTGCTCATTACTCCTACTGAATATGTCAGGTCTGGACGTGTGTGCACCAGGTATCTTAGGCTCCCAATTACACTCCTATACATAGTCCCATCAACCGGTGGATCACCATTTTCATGCTTACTCATCTTAGTTCTTGGCTCCATTGGAATTTTGCATGAGTTACACTCCCCTATTCTTAGCTTCTCCAATATGGTCCTTGCATATCCTGACTGACATAGTGAGATTGAGTCTTCATCTTGTTTAACCTCTATGCCTAGATAGTAGCTTAGAGGTCCAAGATCACTCATCTCAAAAATCAGCTTCATCCTTTCTTTGAACTGGCCAATGCATCTATCATTTGAACCTGTCAGGATGAGATCATCCACATAAACTCCTAGTATAAGGATATCTCCCTTTCCTTCTTTCTTGTACACAGCATGTTCATGAGGACACCTTAAGAATCCTAGAGATTTCAAACATTGATCTAGCTTGAAATTCCAGGCCCTGGGTGCCTGTTTTAACCCATACAAAGCCTTCTTAAGTTTCAAGACTTTGTGTGGATACCTTTCATCAACAAAACCTTCAGGCTGTGATACATATACCTCCTCTTCTAATTCTCCATTTAGGAATGCGGTTTTCACATCCATGTGATGAACCTGCCACCCCCTTTGAGCTGCATAGGCTAATAGCAACCTGATTGTTTCAATCCTTGCTACAGGTGCAAAAACTTCATTATAGTCTACACCATGCTTTTGTACATAACCCTTTGCTACTAACCTTGCCTTGTGCTTGATGATCTCACCATGTGGACTCTTCTTCAGTTTGTATACCCACTTCACCCCAATTGCCTTGTGATCTTTAGGTAACTCTGCCAGCTCCCAGGTTCCATTCTTCTTTATGGAACTGATTTCTTGCTCCATAGCCCGTTTCCATTCTTCAACCTGAGAGGCTTCTTTGTAGGTGGTTGGCTCTTCTAGTAAAAGGAAACACAGCCCAACTTCTTCTTCCACCTGTCTGGTTCCATCATATATTTCCTGCAGAGATCTGTACCTTTTAGGACTTTCTGAATCCAAGCTTGAAAAGCTTGAGCTCTGGGACATTGTTGGAGATGACTGAGCTGAGGTAAATGTTGAATGCAGCCTTGAACTTCCATCACTCTCCTTACTGGTGAAAGTCACAGTAAAGTTTCCTCCTTCGGGACTTTGTTCTTCATTTTCTACCCAGCTCCAGCTCCTTCCCTCTTCAAATACTACATCTCTGCTTACTATGATCTTTCTTTCAGTTGGTTCTAAAAGTCTATATGCCTTAGAACCTTCTTCATACCCAAGTAGTACAGTTGTGATACTCCTGTCTGCTAACTTGGGTGGATGTGGTGTGACTATTTTTGCATGAGCAATGCATCCAAACACCCTGAAATGATGTACCTTGGGAATTTTTCCATGCCAAGCCTGGTATGGAGTCATTCCCTCCACTCCTTTAGTTTGAGATCTGTTCAGAATGTATACTGCAGTTGTAACACCGTCCCCAAAAAGTATTTACTTTAAGTAAATAATGTATTGAACTTATGGGATGGTCAACGAGTATTCGAAGTTGTGAATTTTTATTAATGTTTTTGCGTGAATAGTAAATTCGCACGTGGGGCCCGCATCGGGAGCGAGGGCCGCCCGATATTCCCGAGACCGTACATTTTATTCATCTTGGTCAATATAATATTTATATAGTGGTGGATAATTTATTTGGTCCAAATAAATGACATAATGTGGACCGATTGGTCAAAAGGGGCTCAATTACCGGTATCGGTAATTTATCAGATAACAGCCCGAAATAAATTTCGGAGACTTATAAATTAAAGTTGGGGGATGTATATTCTTCATAAGTGTCATAATGATTAAGAACACATAAAATATTTTATTCGACCCGATAAAATAAATTATCTTTAAAACAGTCCGAAAAATACAACTTTCGGGGCCGATTGTACACTTCGGGACACAAGGGGATGACCTCCCACATCAGTGGGGGCCACCCCACGTTTTTATGTGCTAGAGTAGACAAACATGGGGGCTGGTTGACTTGGAAGGGGAGGGGTGAGGTGATGAGCATCAAAGCTACACCTATGACCCCATTTCCCTCACTCATTGGTCCAAACAAAACAAAAGCTATCCACCCCCCTCACCACCATCATCCATTCGGCCAACACATCTCAAGCAAGAGAAAAACCTCCCAGCAAAATATCATCCTCCATAGCCAAGGGCAAGCTCAAGCTCTAGGAGAAAGTTCAAAGAAAGAAAAAAAGAGGAAAAGTGAGGTGTATTAAGGTAATGACCTCATAATGAGTTTCCTTCATTCCTTTAACCATCATATGACTCATATAGCATATGAATAACCCTTGTTATGGTTCTACATATTTACATATGTAGGAAGTTGGGTTGGAATGTGATTCTATGTCCAAACACGGACATAGAAGCCAAAACGACCGGTTTATCGGAAATAACCTTTTAGAGGTTATTTGTATTGATTAAGGTTTTATGATGTTAAAACCTTGTTAGGAACTTGATTAAAGTATTTTTGAGCTTCGCCGGAGTATCGCCGGAGTATCGCCGGAGTTGGTCAAAGTTCGCCGGAATTAGTCAAAGTTCAATCGGGGAGCGTAGAACGCGCTTAAGCTCACTTAAGGTGAGGATGACCGACTATATTGCTTATAATTTTTGGGTTAATTTCATAAGATTTCCTAAATGAATATACAATGTGATTTGCATGGATTGTTAATAGTTATTAATGCCTAAATGAAATTACTATTGATTATACGTATAGTTTGCATAATATACAAATTTATTGAATAAATTGTGTATGTTTATATGTTATGAATATGATGGCATGATAGTAGTATCAACCATAAATTTCATTTGTGATAAGTATGTTTTTTTAATTCATGAGAAGAAGCCATGAAAGAATAAAAGTGATATTTTGATATTAAGGTCAAACTACATATTGAATGAAGAATTACATTGAAATGAGTAAATAACTAGTATTGAAATATTAGTTGGGATTGTAGTTGAATAATGGATGAATGGATCCTAAGAAATTTAATTGTAAAGAATCGGTGATTATTGAGCTGGGCTCTAGACCGATTTAGATAACGGTGATTATTGAGCTGGGCTCTAGACCGTGATAGTTATCGGTGATTATTGAGCTGGGCTCTAGACCGATGTAGATAACGGTGATTATTGAGCTGGGCTCTAGACCGTAGTAGTTATCGGTGATTATTGAGCTGGGCTCTAGACCGATGTAGATGACGGTGATTATTGAGTTGGGCTCTAGACCGTAGTAGGTAACGGTGATTATTGAGCTGGGCTCTAGACCGTGGTAATAAATGATGAAATGACACTAAACGAACAAAGTTAATCATGAGATAATAACACCCTAAATTGAGGGTCTTGGAAATTGAAACATTGATTATACTTAGTATAGTTGTCATTGTACTTGTCAAATGCTTCCAAGTACTGACCTTCCCTTCACGGGGGAGGCCACCTCACAGTTTCAGGTAGGAGCTGAGCTTGCTACCAGTGCCCGTTGCTCCGGGTGAATTCAAGGAAGGAAGACGTGGTTCGTGCTTCCTCCGTTCCTGTTTTAAAAACATTTAAATTAATGCTCATGGATATTACATTTTGAATAATCATCACGGGGCTTGCATGCCCATGTTTGCCAAAGTGTGGCACGAACACTTGTATTAAATGTTTCCGCTGTTTTGAATGAATATTTTACATTATGTTTGTTTATGGATGTACTATGTGTGAATGATATCCCAGACGCCTTGTATAGTATGAATGTGTTGGACTGCGGTTGACTATTCGTACTGTACGGCGGATTGTTGACGTGTCCGGATAGGTCTGGGGCGTGACAATTTAAATGGTATCAGAGACTTAGTCCGTAAATTTCATAATGAAGCTTCAAAATCTCTTTTCGAAAATGAATTTGAAAACCATGAGCATAAAAGTTTTGTACTTATAGAACTTTTGGTACTTGAGTTGCAAAGTCTCTAATTGTTAAGATGGTACCCTTAACAATTGGTATGGCGGTGATTTGAGCCAAAGGATGTCTTTAAGTACCTATCCGTCACTTGACATTGATACGAGTCTAATGACTCATTCTACCTCCTTTCAGAAATGGAGCCAATCGGAAGGATCACGAGGAGGAACCCGACGGGCCGTGTACCGGGTGGATCCGAGCGCGGTAGTCGGGGGTCCTCTAGGGGATCAAGACGAAGGGGCCGTGGAGGCCAACACCAAACCGTGAGCGATGGCCACGTCGAGACGGAAAGTGAGACCTATTGGTCTTATGAAGATTCAACCTACCGGCCGGAAACGGAGCCGGTTGAGACCCCTTATGAAGGGGATGATGATGATGTGAGTGACGAGGAGGAAAGTGGCTCCTTGGCCAGGATTGAAGCGCTGCTCCAACAATACCACCGGGAGCGCGAGGAAAGAAGGGAACGTCGAAGGCGCCGTGCGGGGCAACCTTCGGGCGGGGCTCCAAGGGGTAGGAGTGTTTGTGACTCGAGAACCCATGTAGAAGCGCATGGGAGCCGTGGTGACGGAGGTCCAACCATAAGGATCTCCAAATACATTAAAGAGGCGAGGGATTTGGGGTGCAAACCGTTCGATGGAACGGGAGACATCTCGGTTGCCGCGCAGTGGATCAAGAGGCTGAACGAGGCGGCTCTTGACATGCAACTCACCCCCGATTTTAAACTGAGAATCGCGGTGAGGTTACTTGAAGGTTTGGCATCCAAATGGTGGGATGGGACCAAGGGCAAGTATGGTGGGACTGTTACTTGGGAGGATTTTCGGCAAGAATTCTTTGCCCAATACTACTCCGACTTTGAGGTAAACGCCAAAGTGAGGGAGTACACTCTTTTGACCCAAGGGGGTAACATGACGGTGAAAGAACTTGAGCATAAGTTCAGGAACCTTGCCGACCACATACCGGAGTATGCTTGTGATGAGAACCGAATGGTGAATCACTTTTGGGAGGCCTTGGACCTGGAGATACGTGATAGGGCGACTCAATTGCCCAACATGACTTTCAGCCAAGTGGTTGCCCAGGGGTTGAAGGGGGAAAAGCAATGGGAGGAGAGGAAGAAGAGGGACGCCGAGGAGGCGAAGAAGAGAAAATGGGAGAGCCATAGACCGATGTAGATAACGGTGATTATTGAGCTGGGCTCTAGACCGTAGTAGTTATCGGTGATTATTGAGCTGGGCTCTAGACCGATGTAGATGACGGTGATTATTGAGCTGGGCTCTAGACCGTAGTAGGTAACGGTGATTATTGAGCTGGGCTCTAGACCGTGGTAATAAATGATGAAATGACACTAAACGAACAAAGTTAATCATGAGATAATAACACCCTAAATTGAGGGTCTTGGAAATTGAAACATTGATTATACTTAGTATAGTTGTCATTGTACTTGTCAAATGCTTCCAAGTACTGACCTCCCCTTCACGGGGGAGGCCACCTCACAGTTTCAGGTAGGAGCTGAGCTTGCTACCAGTGCCCGTTGCTCCGGGTGAATTCAAGGAAGGAAGACGTGGTTCGTGCTTCCTCCGTTCCTGTTTTAAAAACATTTAAATTAATGCTCATGGATATTACATTTTGAATAATCATCACGGGGCTTGCATGCCCATGTTTGCCAAAGTGTGGCACGAACACTTGTATTAAATGTTTCCGCTGTTTTGAATGAATATTTTACATTATGTTTGTTTATGGATGTACTATGTGTGAATGATATCCCAAACGCCTTATATAGTATGAATGTGTTGGACTGCGGTTGACTATTCGTACTGTACGGCGGATTGTTGACGTGTCCGGATAGGTCCGGGGCGTGACAGCAGTTTTGACAGCTTCTCCCCAATACTGTGCAGGCACTTTCTTACTTTTCATCATACTTCTTGCCATCTCCATCACAGTTTGATTTCGCCTCTCTACCACCCCATTTTGTTGGGGTGAGTAGGGTGCAGTATAAAGCCTTTTCACACCTTCCATCTCACAGAACTCTTTAAAAATTTTTGACAAGAACTCACCCCCCCTGTCAGTTCTTAAACACTTTATCTTTGTTTCAGTTTCGACTTCAACACATGCCTTGAATTTCTTAAAGACACTGAATGATTCATCTTTACTCTTTATCATGAAAACCCACATAAACCTTGAGAAATCATCAACTAGCAACATGAAGTACCTGTTTCCTCCATGAGTTGTTGGTGATATTGGACCACAGATATCTCCATGAATCAGTTCCAGTTGTTTCCTTGCCCTGAATGATGAGTGCTTTGGAAATGAGCTCCTGTGTTGCTTGCCTATAACACATCCATCACACACTTGGTTCACCTGGTCAATCTTGGTCAGCCCTTCCACCATACTATGGATCTGCATATTCCTTAGGGAGTGAAAATTCAAATGACCATACCTTGCATGCCATAGCCATCCTTCATCATTGATGTTTGCCAGAAGGCATACCTTCTTTGCTAGATGAAATTTTGCCACATACAGTCTATTTGATTGTCTGTTTACCTTAACAATCAGTCTCCCCTTGTCATACACCTTGAGGCATCCACCTTCTATGACAGTGTGACTGCCTCCTTCATCTAGTTGTCCAATACTCAGAATATTACTCCTGAGTTTTGGTATGTAGTAGACCCCAGTCAGTGTCAAATGTTCCTCATTCTTGCATTGTAGAAGCATGGAGCCTTGACCACATATCTCTGCAACTGAGCCATCCCCAAACCTGACCTTTCCTTTGATGGATTGATCAAGTTCTGAGAACCAATTCATGTCTCCTGACATGTGATTGCTTGCTCCGGTGTCCAAGTACCATGTGCCTTCTTTACTCATCATGTCCCTTGACCTGTTACTTTCTTCATGTAGCATTGCAAGTGTTTGCATTTCAAGTTGTGAACTCCCCAGTTCACATGTCTCTACCATTAACAAGGAGGTTTCTTCTTCTTCTCCTTGTTGTTCAGTCAGATGAACCTTCTCTTCTTTCCCTTCTGACTGGCATTCATTTGCAAAATGCCCCATTTTCCCACACGCATAGCACTTGATCTTGGTTTTATCAAACCTTTTTTCTGCACACCTGAGCCTCCCTCATCTCCTGAGGGTGTAAAGTCACCTCTGCCTTTACCTCTGCCTCTTCCACGACCACGGCCACGACCCCTACCTCCCCTAGTATTCCCTTGATCTCTAGGGGGCTTCTTAGAGGCCTTTTCTTCCTCTCTGGCCTTCCACTCAGCCTGTGTCAAGAGGACAGTCTCATCTTTGTCACCAAAGCCATGTAGTCTTTCTTCATGTGCTTTGAGTGAGCCTATGATTTCATCAATTGTCTTGTTTGGCAGATCACCAAACTCCTCAATAGTTGAGGCAATCTGTAAGAATTTTGATGAAGTTGACCGCAGCAGTTTCTTCACCACTTTGATTTCTTCCACTGAGTTCCCAAGTCCCCTCAATTGAGTGACAATAATGTTTAGTTTCCCAGAAAAGTCATCAATACTTTCTGAGTCCTTCATCTTCAAGGCTTCAAACTCCCTCCATAGAGTTTGAGTTCTCACCTCCTTTACCTTGTCAGCACCAAGATGCATGTTTTTCAACATGTTCCACGCCTCCTTCGCAGTCTTCTTGGCCCCAAGTTGGAGGAGAGTGTCTTCTCCTATGCCTTGATAAATGGCAGCTAAGGCCGTCTTGTCTCTCTTGTTGTCTACTACACCTTGTGCTTCCACAACATCCCATACACCTTGGGCTGTCATAAAGACCTCCATCTTTATGGCCCAAGCTGCGTAGTTGGATCTTGTCAACATAGGGTACTTCAAGGTGACTGAACCTTCCTCAGTTTTGTCTCCTTGTGCCATGCTTGAGTGCTTTGATCACCAAAGCTCTGATACCAAATGTTAGCAATAGAATGAACTTAACACCCTGTTCTTCCTTATCCAAACTAGCTACGTAGGTTTTAAGGAGCTTTTGTTTTCAATGGTGTGTAGCTCTTATGGCTGCATCACCTTTTATTAATATTTATATACACTTGATAAAAATGGAAGCTACGAAATAGGAGATTGATGCTACATGTTAGCAACTAACCCCACTAAGAAGGTGCACACCCACACCTCTTATTTACCAAGTCAAAAACCTTAACTACCTCCTATTAATATTCTAGCTACTTTATTTTAGGAATTATTTTCCTCATTCCTAAGTAACTCTACGGAAGAATAAACTAACATGCCATGCAAGCATGTTTTACGAAAAAACAAAATAAACAAGTTTAAAAGTTTAAATAAACTATCATCGTATATGGAAAATAGAGCCTTTATCATAGCTTTCTAGTGAATTGATATGGGATTTATTCCTGGCAACATTGTGATGTATATCATAATGCAATGTATAGAAATGCATTGCGTATTATTGTTAAGGGAAAACTGTCAAATAGGTTCTCGAACTTTCATAAAAAGGTCAAATAAGTCCTTATATAGGAGGCTTTCTCCGGCCGTCGCGATTTGGGGCGGTTCCCGGTAGAATTTTTAAATGCGCAGTTATCTTCAAGAATTAATTTGAATGTGTTCCCGATTGAAGTTTTAGCTGAAATTTGGTATGAGTAAACTAGATTTGATGAATAAGATGCTCAAAAAATTTCATCAAAAAATTTCACCGGGAACCGCTCCAAATCGCGACGGCCGGACAGAGCCTCCTATATAAGGACTTATTTGACCTTTTTATGAAAGTTCGAGAACCTATTTGACAGTTTTCCCTATTGTTAATTACATACTACGAAGTAATATGTAATGATTTCTAATTTCAACATGTAGAGTGTATTTATTATGGATCATTACATAAACTTATATGATATGAAGCACGGAAACACTTGGGGAACGGTACGTTTCTCTTTCGGAAAATGGAAACTCTATGGAAACACTTTGGAAAATCTTCAAACAGTTATTTTTCTGATAAACAATGGTGTTTCCCGTTTCTTGATAATTCTCAAGTTTCCGTGAAACATAGGTTTCGCAAGAAAAAATAGTAGGATAGTGAATAGTTTAGAAAAATGTAAGTGCATAGCGTAGAAAAAAGTTGGAGAAATGGTGAAAAGTATAAAAGAGAAGATAAAAAAAATTAAGGGTAATTGAATACTTTTTAAGGAAAATTTAACAAAAGAAGAGAGTGTAACAATAATTAAAATACATCCAAAACTCCAAAAAGGTAGGCGCAAGAAACAAAAAGAATACAGATACAAGATGCATTTAGAAATTCCTTCTGAGTTCTGAGGCATTTCCAGTTTCACGTTCATTCAATAAAGCAATGCTGAACAACAAGAACACATTTGATAATGGCTTATCAGCATTATCAACAAATTTTTTTAACAAACAAGTAACTTTTGATTTTTGCTCATAAATTGTGCAATAATCAAAATAAGTAAACTTGGAATTACTTTTCTTAAATTGTGAAATAATTAAAATAAATAGACTTGGAATTACTTTTCAAACTGAATTGGTTGAAATCACCATTTTAGCTATTTTGATATATATTTTTATTAATTTTATTAATAAAATATTATTTGATTTTTTTTTTCACAAGAGATTATGCCAATTGAGTCATTCCAACAATTTCATCAATTTCAATGTAATTAACTGATTGATTCAACCAATTTCAGTGGACTCTATATCATACCAATATAATTATGATTACTACTTCTAGTACTGATCACAGGAGAGAGACCTGAACTGATTTAGTTTGCGAGGGGAGGTGAAAGAGGTGCCAGAAATCTGCTCAGCGTAGAGGCCAAAGGGGCAAAGAAGAGGACTATTCTGACCTCGAGGAAGAGCTCCAGCGATGGCCTCAGACGAGAAGTGATTTCCAAAGCCCGATTGGTACTCCAAATCCGCCGGAAATATTGAGGTATCACCCTTGCTCTCCATCTCCTCCCTTATCATGCGAACTCAACACTGAACCTCGAAGTGTGTCTTATACGGCGCTGGCGCGATCATCCGTGTTGCTTACGGCTGTCTTCCAAATTAGAGCCCGTTTGGTAGCACTAAAATCGGCTGTTTTGGCTGTTTCTGCTGAAATTTATGAAGTTCTGGCTGAAGTGGCTGTTTTGGCTGATTCTGCTGATTCTAGAAAAAAATATTTTAAAAATATATTTTATTAATAAAATAAAGAAAAAATTACATGTAAAAATAGCTAAAATGGTCATCTACAGTAACTTCAGCCAATACAGCCAGAAAAGTAACTCCAACCTTACTTTTTCTGCTTATTACCCAATTCAACACGCGAAAGTAAAAATTACGTGTTTGGTGAAAAAGCTGGCTGATAAGCCTGATAAGCCGAAAAAAAGGGTCTCCAAACGGGCTCTTAGACTTTATCTTCCCAAAATGCTAGTGGTACACAAGTTGTACACAACTTGTACAAACAATGTCGGTCACATACAATTTGTACGGAGTTGTCTGTAACCACAGACAAGAGTTGTCTGTGTGTACACAAACAACTCTTGTAAATTCTTATAGTTTCTAAAGTAGATGAGATAACATATAGCTAATAATCCCTATAAATAATCCTAACTTTTAATTTTTACGCATAATTTCTATTTAAAATTCACTTGTTTATAGGAGGTAATATCTGGTCATTGATCATTATTGGCGGACGGTCTATATAGTTGGGATTATACAAAAAAAAAATCAATAGTTGGGATTATTGTATGCGGGCCGACAATAGTTGGAATTATTATTTTCAATTTTTCCAATAAAAAATAAGATTAATTATTCTATGCCCATGCCCCCTATTATTGTTTGATATCATATTTGGTAACATTTGTGTGGCTCCAATTCATTCTTATTTTACTCTCACTTTATGAACTCATTATC